AAACTGATCGACACTCGATTACAAGGCACAATGAATTAGTACTCTCTGTAGGTACCATAGTGTTATAAGCTGATGGATGTTATGGTAAAATTATTATTTGATGTAGGTCAAGCAAAGGTTAGACTGCATTGATTTTATTACTTCATATTGTATTAAAAAAAAAAAAAAAAAAAAGAGAGTAATAATTACTGATGGGCGAACGAGAGTCATTAATTTTGATACAAAATTATTAAAATCGAACAGATATCGATACAAAGTACAGTTAATGATACACGGTATGATAAATTGTAGTTAGCTAATTTGGAAAAATAATAATTTAAAATAAAACTACGCAGAGAACAAAGGTTATAGTTGCATGCATTTTGTAGCGAAGACATCTTATTTTATGTTCCATCGATGGACTAATATTATTTCTACTGGCGGATGTTAGGTCATGACCTACCTCATAACAGTACAGATTTATCAATTCTTTTAAAAAACGATTAGGAATATGATGAATGTATTATAGTAAAATAATTATATTAAAAGTAATAAGAAAAACAAAATATGGACAAGAAGCTTACCAGTGAGAATAATTATTATAAAGTCTAAGTTTTTAATAAAAATATATAATACTGTGAAATAATGAAAAATTCCTAAAAAAGTAATAATTTATTTAATAATGTAATCATAATAAAAATCCACTACTTTGCTTAGGATATTAAAAATATTAAAGTAAATAAAAATACATGTAGAAATAATAAAATTAATAATTTATCGTGGACTTAATCAAAGTAAATGTATAAATATATATACAGTGGTCGAAATAGTTCAAGATATGTGGAGGGATGCCTTACAATTCAGATTTCTTGATGTCATCATAACATTCTTTACACCTTGTGTACCTATAATATATTAATTTTTTTTTTTATAGTTCACATAAGGTATATTATCTTAATACGGGTATAATACGAATTGTGAAACGGCTTAAACAGAACAACACGATAAGCCGGACGCCCGGGCCTGAATGTCAAAAACAATTATTTTCACCGAAAAAAAAAAATTTCTTATATATAAATAAAAAAATGATAATAAGTATATCATTTTAAAATAAAAGTCTTAGAAGGAATGCGTTATTCTATACAAAACTAGTAGAGGGATGAAAACTGTAAATACAAAAAAGTAGAGGAATACCATCCCTCCGTATCCCCCCCACTTCGAGCACTGTATATATAAGAGTCGTCTTATACCTATTCACATAAAAACAAATTAATAGAGAAAGGTAAGGTACCAATAAGATAAATAGACTAAAGTGAAAATACGTGTCTAAGATTAATTTTAAGTATTATTTTCAATAAATTTAAATAATCTATTTTGAAAAAAATATTATGTGTAGGTGTTCGCGCGCGCGCGTTTGTGTGTGTATTTTCTAATGTCGGAAAATGAAACGATAAGTACATGAAAAACTCTGTGATCTAGATAGATGGGATGCCTGACATCAAGCCAAATCGAGACTTTAGGCAAGGTTGTCACGTATTAATGACGATTGAAACCTCGGACATCATCCGTCAGCAAATATGGGCGTTACGTTTTGAAATTATAACTGGAACTACAATGGCCGGCGGAGTCATTTCATTCTCATTTCAAAAATAATTTCTTTATGTCATATCCCAATATTCATAATTTTTTAAATATTGTATAGCTACTCCAATCAAAAGTTTATATTAAAAATTTGAAGAAGGGGGAAAATCGATTTAAATTTGTAAATTAAATTTAATAATTATATTAAAAGTAAATATTTATTTAAAAAAAATGTATTATATTTTTAACGATAGGAAAAAAATTATTTCACATTTCACATATTGTATGTATATTGCTTAATATTAAATTTGTAAAATCTATATGGAATTGTATTATAATTAAAAAAATATATATTATTTGACGAATTATATTTATATTTGTTAGGAAAAAATAATAATCAGTCAATAAATGTTATATATTTGTATTAATCGCATATTTTTGTGCTACACTTTTATGATTCAATATCCGAGTGCATTTTAAATATATAGATTTATTGTGTGACTCAGTCTTCGTGTAGTAGTAAAATGTAAACAAATATTTTATATGAAGCAGGTAGGTAAAATGCGGCTCAATGCCGACCATCCGAAATCGCGTTTTGGAAGAGAAAACAGTTTGTTATTCCCATACATGGTGGATTCCGCCCCCGAGATGCGGACAATTTTGCGGCCGGTCAGTTTCACGTGTGACACGTACTCGACACATCACCCAGTAACTAACTGTCCTAACTGTCATTGTAAAAAATATAATGAAACTAACATAAAAACGTAGTTCTAGCCGTTATAAAAATATATTAATTATCATTTTCCAATTTAAAACCAAATAACAAGATAATTTTAATTTGCTACGTAAAAATAATACAAATAATTTCCGGTGATGATTACAAATCAATAACGAATGAGAGTAGAACTAATTAAAAATGTTAAACACATGGACGCCTAGAGGAGGGGATGGTAAGACGGGGCATTTCCCCCTCCTTGGAAAAAATTAATCGAACGGTTAATAACAAGGTTTGCAATCGAACAACTGCGGAGACTTCGGTTTTTCTTTGATAACGATTAAAGTGTGTACAATAATTGTACTGACAAATTATTCTAACATATTTTATTGTTTGCTAAGATTACATTTTTTTTAATATACTTTTTGGTATTCGATTTAATTATGCCCCCCTCCCTGATAAATTTCCTGCGGTCACCCATGGTTAAACCTAACTTTTATGAATGAAAAAAGTAAAATGATAGTCATAAGACACAAATGAATATAATTCATATTAAGATATGCGTCATGCGTGACTAGTACATAAATAAATAATAGGTATACGAAAAAAATTCTTAAATTATATTATTATTATTATTATCATCATCAATGGCGTCGAATATGAGGTACAGGTTATTTTTTTAGGTGGTGGGTGGTAATATAATAATCATGATATGAACAGGGTAATTACTTATAATATGTTATCCATTCGACTTAAATTTTTTGAGCATACATAAACGTTTTATCTATACACTAATATACTCTAATACTAGTGCTTTGTATAAAAGATAATAAAGTAGTATAGAATATTGCTAAACACATCAATATTAAATTTACTGTTTGCAATATACAACGGCTATAATATAATATACAATGTCACGTTTACATTGATAAATGATAGTGTAAACACCCGTCAACCGCACGTTTCCATTGTTAAGCCTCGAGCACATAGAACGCGGTCTGTCATGGAGGACATGATGTCGACACTCAGAATGCGATATTGTACAAAGCCGTCTAGAGAGAATTTAATTTTTATTAAGTCAAGTTTATCCTAATATACAGTTCCTACATTCCGTTATCCACTTACTATTATTTTTATGTTATAATCTATATTTTATTTGTTCTTAGTGTCACTGTATATTTATAACATATGAAGTTCTGACGAGAAACAATTTCTTTTATTATTTTTCCTTAAAAATAAAAAGGAGATACGAATTTGGGAGCATAGTTCAGTTTTGAACTTTATAGGTAGTTTTCATTTTACTAAAAATTATTTCATAGATGTGATGCATGATATCTTTGAGGGTATATGTCGCTATGATTTGTATCATATTATTAAATATTACATTTAAACCGTATAATTGTTTTCATTATCTAATTTAAATAAGCGTTAAATAAACTTTAATTACTTTAATTGGTAATAATCTACCAAAATTACAGAAAATCATTTGAATAAATTTCGAAAAAAAAAGTCAGCAAGAGAGACGATGGCATTTGTACATTTTTTTTTTTCAATTATTAAAGGAGATTTAATTCTTGAAAACGACAATACATGGTACTTTTTCTTAATACTCATTAAAATAATTTATATAGTACTTCTTTCATATAATTTTAGCGAAAGCAAAATTATGCATCTTGAACAATGAATTAGTCAGCACAATTTACATTTTTTAATTCATATTAACTTTAAAGTTAGTATTGCACTATTAAAAATTGTTATATTGTTAAATTCATAGTATAAATTATATCGTTAATAATAGTACAATTGTTAAAGGTATAATACTGACATTAAAACCGGTTTAATCGCAAGAAGATTTGCATTATTAAAATTAATATTATACCAACACAATAGTAATATATTGTCGGTTCTACATCGTAAAGATTATTGTCACTTAAACCCGGAATTTTATCATTATGATCGTGATCATTTTATTTTCATAATCGTCTGGCGACGGGTGTAGATCGCCTCGGGACGGACGGTGGAACAATAAAACGCCCCAGGCCCGAAGCGGTTAACGGGTGGCGCGGTTGGGACTGCTTGGGCTTCTGTCTAAAAGCCGTTCGGTGGACGGCAGTCCGTGTTGGGGACTACATTCGATGTAGAAAACATCATTCAAGACATAATTCACGTTTAAATACCAATACAGATCTTTTCAATTTTCTTTTAGTAACATCTGATCCTAAAATAACCTCATTAAAAACCGAACCTAAAAAAACTCCAACTAAATTACCTCCAGAAGTTATATACTTATTGAACATTGAAAAATCATGTGATGAATCCGAATCCAGCGGTAGTGAAAGTGATTCCAATTGATTTTAATATTTGTTAATAAAAAAATATAATTTAAAAACATCTTTTTTTTTTTTTTAATTTCTAAACATAAGTAAATAAATAAATAAATAAAATTCACTAATTTACTGTAAATATATATATATATATATAAACTAATGTATTAACTATATAAAACTATAATGTAAATATAGTAAAATATATTAATGTACATTATTATGTAAAATTATTATATTGTATTCATTCTTATTTCGTTATTATTTGATACCTAATATTTAGTTTTTCCTGATATATTTATAAGTGTAAAGTAATAAATTCTGTTGTAATATAATTTATAATGTGTGTACTATATATTTATCAAAATTAATTTGATAAATTAATTGATTTTTTGATCATATTAATTTTGGCCAGCTAGAACATGTATTCCTCCCACTGTGGGGCGGCTGTCGGCCTCCGCGCCGTCCGCATCGTCCATGCCACCGGCGGCCGCGAAGTGATCGGCCAGGTGGCGGCGCACGACCAGCGCGTAGACGAAATCAGCACCGTTGGTCGGGACCGGTGCGAAACACCACACGAAAAACGCGACTCGGATCAGTCCGTAGAACGGGACCAGGGCCAGCAGGCCGCCGATCATCTGGTGTACGATCAATGCGGCCGCGAACACCATCCAGTACACGAACCACCGGGCCGTGCGCTGGTGCCGTTGCTGGTGCTGCTGCTGCTGAAGCTTCTGCTGCTGCTGGTAGCCGGCGACGGACGCAGGCCGCGGCGCCCGGCTTTCCGGCGGCTGGAGCAGCATCGCGATGGTCATGTACGCGGGGTACACGAACCCGATGACGTTGCCCAGCATCACTGTTCCCCTGTCCGGCCTGGTCAGGTACACCGCGATCACGATCATCAGGCCCACGAACAGCTTCATGCGCTGCACGCCGCTTCGATTCTCGGCCCACTCGAACAGCGCGGTAACCGGACTGCTATCGTCGTGCAACGCGTCGTGGACCACTCGCACTACGTGCACGTGTTTCAGATCCATGGTCGGGCGTTTTATTTTTTTCCTGAGAATATCGTCACTCACGCACTCGCCAAACCCTGCGCGATCACGGGTGTATTTATGTTCGCGTTCGTTGCAACCGCTTCCGTTCCGTAGTCACCGTCAACTGTATCGCATCAAATATCACGTGCTGCACGCGTTTATTGTGCCGAGCGACCGCGGTTGCCTCGACAACGGAAACGTAATTGGTGGCGAATTGAATGAATTCGGGCGACGGAAAAATCGCAGACGGTCAAACGCTTTTTCCGGTTAATATTTCTGCGCGATCCGCACCTCGAGCGGATTTCGTTGATTCGCCGTAGATTTTCATTGACATTTCTCGAATCCGGTTCTGAGCTCGTTGAATTATAATAGAACTGTTCAACTAATAAATTGTACACGAGTCACATGGTCGCAATAAATCCTATTTAAGCGAAACAAACTTGGTGAGGCTTATGATAAACACCTGGATCATAACCGCTCTCATTTGGGTCACAATTTTTAAATATGAAAGCGATTAGTCACAGATTAAAGTATAAAGCTTGTAGTCCAAGACGATTTGCATGAAAAACCCACGAAACTTTTCATAGGTGAATTTAAATTGGTGGTAGGTAGGTAAAATTAAACAACGAACGTTAACTACACAAAAAAAAGAGACGATATTAAAAAAAAAATCAACACAACAATAATTTTGAAATATATAGTTCGCAGACAAACTAAATAAGTAAATGTGTAATAAATAAAATAAAATAAAAAAGTAGCAATTATGTATATTTTTTATAGTGTCTTCAATGGTGTAAATATGAAATTTTATGATGGTAAAAGAGAATGCAGAATTTATAATATTCTAGTAAAATACACACGCAAAACCTTTGCAATCTTTTATAATTTATCTAGTGCCGATCTATTTCAACTCATATACATATAAAAAAACGTTTACTGTGCCAAACTTAATCCTAAAAAAGTTATATACAATATACCACTGGCTGTTTTCCCAATTAGTATAATTTAATACATTTTTAACACTTTTAATACATTAATATTTATTACATGTTATTACTTTTAGAGTAAATGAAATTGTAATTTTAAACTAAAATTCTATATCTAAAACTGTCCACTCAAATTTTCAAATAATTTCAATGTTTAAATTTTTCTTTATTCTATTATTACATTAATCACATATATTTGTCTTATATTTTATCAAATTGTATTACTCTCTATCTCAATACAAGCAATTAGAGATAGAATATCTTGTAAATAACAGAATGTATTGTATAAATTATGTAATGTATTTTGATTATTTTAAAAAAAAAGAAAACTCGTCATTAACTTTATTAAAAAATCCGAGTGGTCTTCATTATGATTCACAATATACGCTTAATTATACCGAAAAAATTATCAATCCGACGAGGAAAGACTACGCATATTATTATTATTTATTAATCCCATAAATAATTCTTGAAATACATTTAATCCTAATAATCATAATCTATTATAGCAAAAAAGTATATTTTAATAAATTACATCTGAACACAACAGTTTTGTTTAATATACTTAAATAAAATTTAAATTTAAATCTCCATTACGACTCGAATAAAAGTCGACCTTCGTGCAAATGTTGTCATACTAATTCTAAACTACCAAACTTCCGTGATCTTTTGCGTCGATATCGTACCATTGAAAGATAATACGGGAGTAGTGTCACCTGATTTTCTCCACATCGTGATGAAAACCATACGAAATTTTGGTTACGGTAGTTGGTAGTTGACCATGGGTGGAGACTATAACGGTGAAAGTGAAATAATATTGTACCTACGTATTGTTAAGACCAGTAAGGGAGCCTTCACACTGCAGTGGTATAAATGTTCGTGAAGTTTTTTTTTTAAATAAGCCGTTGCTCGCTTGATTTTACGACCAATAGCACACAGTCATCACTTATGAGGATTTCCATAGTGGAGGTTTTTTGTAATAATACGTGTAAGTCACATATTATCAATATAATAAATTAATAATAATAGTAATTCTAAGTGATAAAAAGCGGACCCACACTAATATCAGTACGTCGTGCATTATTTGTTGATGTTACCGCGAATATACATGAAAATATCTATAACTAATTTTGTGTCTTTGATTCGTGTATTTAGTATTCGTCAGAAAAATTTTCACCGCGCGATATTCCCATGACCCATTGTTTTTTTTTTTTTTTTTTTTTTTTAATGAACACAATAAAATACACGAAAAATATATACTTATTAGAACGATTTTTTTTTTTTACTTATTCATATGGCCACTAGAACGATGTCAAATGTCAACAAATTATTTATAGAACCGCGCGCTGGCGGCGGCCGAATTGTGATTATTCCACTATTATATTATAATAATACATTATTAAAAATAGGTATCCTGTTCGAGATAGACACGTTTACGCCTTGAATTTATACTAAACAAAAGCGCCTAACCCAATATTTAATTGCTGTTCAAATGTCAATAATCTCCATTTCAACATAATATATTTGATGTTATATTGTATAGATTATTAAAAAAAATAAACCAATGTTTTGGAACCATATACCAATTATTATGTAAGAATTTTAATAATATTACATGGCATGTAATATTATATATCATATAGCCACATCATACAAATTTATTTATTTAAATAAAATGTAATCTATCGTATGTTATTTATATGTTCATTTGTTAATTGATACGAGTGAACGCCACTCGAGAGAAAAATAAGAAACAAAAAAAAATTAGCTAAAGTCTAAACTGATGATATAACCGTACAATATATAGTTGTTAAAATATGGTATAGTAAAACTTCTTAATTGAAACTATTTTAAATTACACCTATTTTAATAAAATAATGACTTAAAAATAATTCAAACTTGGCTACTATTTTTATTTTTTAAGTAATATTATGAAAAAAAAAAAATGTTTAGTCATTTTTAATATTTTACATTAAAAACAATAAAAAACCAGCCTTCGGGCGAATGATAGTACTACCTGCACGAGGCATTTGTACTACCAAACTACTGAAAAAATTTTCAATCAGAATGTGTACAAGCGGTGTCATCTTTTTTTTTCTATTTCGTGGTTTTTATTTATTATCTAGATTCTAGGTTTTAGAATCTAGATATTATGTTAATAAAATTCCAAAAAAAAAAAAAAAACATTTTTTTAAACTCATCTTAAGGTTTAATCATCTTGCCAAATTAAAAATTATCTTCCATTCTTCTTTATTCTTTCTCTTTTCAATACCGGTCTATAATCTTTCTTTCTTTTAACACGTAGTTTATTGGTAGGAATTAATCATATACATTGGAGGAAATCAATTATTAATTAATTTACTAAATTTATTATGGTGATTATTTAAATTTGTATAGATTTCCTACCAAGTAGAAAATATTCAGACGAAGTGTTAACATTTACAAATAATCTTATGTCAAATAATCTAATTTATTTAAGTGACAGAATATGAACATAATTAACATTTTTATTTTTATTAATTAAACTATTTTTAACTGATTGTTTTTTTAATAAATATTTTATTTTGTTATTATTATATTGTATTAATCGACGTATTAATATTAATATAATTGTATAATAGTAACATGAATCTGAGTAAAGAAAAAACACCTTACTTACACGACGAAGTATTTGAACATGAACTAGAGTAGTCCTATAAAATTGTAAGTAAACTGTGTCAACTCATTATCAAGCTCCACATGGCTAATGACTGAATATTATAGATCATATAAAACAAGTGTGATTAATAGGTTTATTGCGACATGAGTTCAATTCAATCGTGACTTTTTCTCATTATTTTTAGAAAAAAGTTGAAATATTAATTTCTTTTTATACATTTCTTATATTCGCGCATTGAAAAAATATATAAAAATTAGAATAGTAATCATTGATTAGGGTTAATAACATATAATAGTAAATAACAATGAAAAACGAAATTATGCACTGAGATCGATTAGTATATAATTATGTATATAACAGGAATATCAACAAGAATAGATCAAGAAGAAGACAAGATCGACAGGAATATGTTCACTAACCACATGGATAAATACAATGATATCAAGAGCCAACATTTTTTAAATACATATTATAATTCTTATAATTTGCTCTAAATAATAATTATTTTATTTTTGATTATTTATTGTATTCTATACATTTTTTTTTTTTTTAATAATCTATGCCAAAAAAAAAAAAAAAAAACCATAATACTAATAAGTCAATTTTTATTTTTATTGATAAGACGCAAGCCGCTATCTTAAAAGTCAGACAGTGTAGTTTTAATAATGAACACCGAACGACAACAAAGACGTTGTTTGAACATAAAAGTATTTATGTCCAATTATGTGTAACTGTGCAAATATGTTGTAAAATATTATTTCTTCCCCTCCTCGCCAATTCACCGCTTCAATTCGCCAATTCGCATTTCTATTAACGTCGGATCTATAGTGAAGCGAGTAGTGCGGTTGCATCGATCCCCGTATACTGTGTATCACGAATACCACTTTATTTTTAAATAATATCATAATAATATTTGAAAATGGTTATTTATTGTTATTATTGACGAAAATCAAGACTGTACCAAAGAACTAAAAGTTTATAATATGATATAAAAATAAAGCAAATAAAATAAATATATGTGCTCCTCTCCCTCGTAAAATTCTGAACTGGGTCCTAAAATCCAAAAACACTACTTAACGCAGTTGTGCCGGCGAGTATAATATGACGAGTAGTAAATACACGCGGCACAACATCGATTAACTACTACGAGTTTACTATTTATGCATAGGTGGCTCTACGAGATGTGCCGGGTGAGCCTTGGCACACCCTAATGTGAATAATGTGAATAAAAAAATTGAATAATTACAATTGAGAATATAATATATTATATATTACATATTAAGTGAATACACATTAATTAAATTTTAGTTTTTTGTTAGTAATACTGCAAGTGTTCAGAATAAGTCTGAAATAAT